CCGCTCTCTGAAGGGGAGCTTTTGAAGGAGTGTATGATAGAAACTCCAGATGTTTTTTGTCCAGAGAGCAAGACAAAATTGAAGACTTGGCTTGTGAGTTGAACGTAAAGTTTTATTTAAAAAATACACAACCTTCTAACTTCATCATAAATATCTTAATTATGCATAAATATTTTATGCATCAAAGTATTTACGGAAGATATTACTAATACTATTAATAATGAATGACCTTGGACAGGCTGTAAACTTAAAGTATTACCGTGGTCCACTGTCTTTGTCATCAGTTTAACTGTTGCGACACGAAAATACTTTATTTTTTCATTTACAAAAAGTAATACCACAAAGTAAGTTTTGAGAATCTCTGATTCACCATGTCTTTCACATGTTCATAAATGATATTAATTTAGGAACATAAACATATTATGTAAACTGTGTATGGATGGTATTGGTAGTTTAAATAAAAAATACACACCAGTATTCCACTTTCTTCCTAAACATTTTAAGCATCAAAGTCTTGCATTCGGTTATATACTGTGGTTATTTTGGGAAAGTTTTTACGTGCTCTTTCTGACTATTTTAAGTTTATATACTTCATAAAAAGTTATAATGTTTGAACCTTTTCTGCAAATATGCTCATTATCGCAGTAAACAAAAGCATATTTTTTAGAATTAGATTAATAGGGAATATGATATGTTAATCGCGTATCTAAAGAAAGTAATAATGATATAATTATATTCATATACTGTAGCTTAAATTATCACAGTAGTACATTTTCTTTGGAAATGTCTGCATCAGTTTCACTCCTTTCCATGTGATTACGTCTGTGGCATAATGGGTTAGGTGTGTGCCTTGTATGCCTTGTATGGACACTGTATTGACATTTTTAAGAATTTGATTAATACAGAATATAATATGGAATCGCGGATCTAAAGAAATTAACAATATAATTATATTCATATCCTGTAGCTCAAATCCTGCTAAACTAAAAATTAGAAGAGTTTTATTGGACAATGTTGTGAGGCTCTGATTTTAACCCAAACGTGAATATGTGCCCATACATCTATTAAAATAATAACATCTCCTGGAGCTGTAATACAGGAAATGCTGTATAGGGTGCCTGAAGCCAAGAAAATTAAATAATTCAAGAACATTTAACTAATGAAAGAGCTGGGAGTTTTAGTCCTTGTTCTAGCCCCATAGTTCTGATACCCAAACTGGATGGGATGGGGGTGTTTTGTAATAATTTCAGGAAGCTGAATGAAGTTTCAAAATTCAATACGTACATGATGCTCAGAGTAGACAAACTATTGGAAAAACTAGAAAAAAATATCTTTCCAGCCTAGAGTTGACCAAAGGATACTGGAAAATACAGTATCTGCGATGAAAATGTCCAAGGAGAAAACTGTGTTTATGATACAGTCCCATGGGACTATACTACGATACCTTTTTGCTTACATGGCATTACTGCAACATTCCAGAAAGTTATGGATAAAATCCTGTGGGCTCACACCTTGTACACTATGTCTCCACATACCCCACCAAAAGTATGACTTTTAGGCATATTAGTTACTTGGGGTATGTGGTAGGACTGAGTCAGGACTGTCCTCTTAAAGTGTCCATAAAGTTGCTACGATAGAAACTGTCCTAAGCCTCAAAATAAAATACAGATGTGAGCATTTTTGGGTTTGCTAAGGTATCATCAGTGTTTTATTCAATTTTGCTAAGAGCTCTATCCTGCTCTGATCTCATGAAGTCCAGATGCAGATAGGATATCATGCAGTAGGATGGAACCAGGAGGATTGCAGACTTTACAAAGGTATTGTGTCAAGATCCTGTACTTGAAGTTCCTGATTTCTCCAAATTATTTATCCAAATAATAGTAATTGTACACGGATGCATCCGAGATGGGTCTCAGTGCTGTACTGCCCCAGGTTTGAGACTCTGAAGCACATCCAATCTTATTTTCAGCTGTAAGCTTCTACAGAGGAAACACAGTGAACACATTTGGCCATGCCCCTCGGACCACACCTACACCATCTACCTCATTGTAATTTTATTTGTTGCACATCTGCAGTCATTGTTTACATGTCTGCATTGTTTACATTCAAACTGTTTACTTGTACATTGTCTACTATTTGTTTGTATATTGTCTTGATGCACTTTGTGTTTTATGCTTTTGTTTTAATAATCAAGAGACTTTCTGTAAACTAAGAATTCCATTGTACCAGTACATGTACCGGTTACATATGGCAACAAAGTTCAAGCTCAAGTTCAATTTTAAAACAGGAGTGTTGGGGTATTAAATGGGCATTGGAAGCAGTCTGGTATTATCTGCTGGCTTGGGAGTTTATGCTGGTTACCAATAATGCCCCTCTGAGCAGGATGAGACTCAACAAAGAAAATATCTGTGTTACACATTGGTTTCTGGTGCTTTAACTGTTTCATTTTCATGTTGAACACGATGCAGGTCTAACCATGCCAATGTGGATGGATTATCCTGGGCACTTTGCCTCGTGGCGGGTGATGCTCTATCTCCTGGATTGAGCTGGGGGCGTATGTAGCACAGGGTCAGGATTGTAGAAACAGGGTTGAATTGCAAAAGGGTGGCATTCTGACAGTATCAGGGATGCATTCCCTGCATTCTGCAAGGAAATTAGGGAATTGTCTGTACCTGGGGACATCAGGTCCCTGTAATAGTATTCAGAGTTTGTCTAATAAGACCCTCACAGTTACTTGGGACAGTAAGCTTGTAAGATCCTAGGTTGAGTTCACAATTTTGTGAAAGGTTACGAAATACTCTGTTTGATTGAACATAAGGTTAAGTATTTTTATTTAGTTGCAGCCTTGGTCATTTTCATGTTAACTCGCTTGTAAGAAAGAAGATGGGTACAAAATAGTTTACAATGTGTACAATATGTGTAAAATAGTGACATTTAATGTTGCATATTAAAAAAAAACTGCAGATATTTTATTAATTCTGAATGCCTTCTATGGTAGGTATTGGAAAATCTGTCTCACAGAAATCTCTTAAAATTGTGTGGTACAGCAAAGATCCACCAAGCTGAAACTCTGCTGGTCACCACTAGGGGGCCTCAGAAGAAAATAAATTTGGCTTCTCACTTTCCTGACAGTTGTATGGGAATGCGATGTCATTGCTTTCAGCTGCTCACACTCAAAGGACCAGGAATATAAACTGCTAATGCTGATGTCCCGGTGTTCGTACCAGAACCATACCCACAGCTGTCAAGCAAAGGTACAGTTTTTGCTCCTCTCTTCCAGAGAGTGAAATAGATTATGTCCAACATTTGAGCTACACAATATCATGCTATAAAGAAATTAATGTTTCCACACAGGGATCTCTCAGTTGTCTTCGGTCTCCCTCAGGAGCTATCAACTCGAACTGTCGACACCCTCAGTTCCACCCTAACCCTGCACTGTGACAATTGCATTTACAGTAGCAGCTTGACCTTAAGCAAGAAAAATAAATATAATTGCTAAGAAGATACGTTTTTGCAAGCTACTTATAGAGATAATTTACATTGCTAATAATTGATACTGTATATCCTATTGGGTATCTATTCATTTGGAAGAGTGAATATTCAGGGTCAAGCACCATGTATCTACCATATTTCAGCAGTAAACAGGAATTATTGCTTACGTTAATGTGTAGTGCTATTACATATTTTTGTATTTTTCCTCCTTCTTTACTTATACTGTTTTTATGTGTAGAACTATGCATTTGTCTTTATATTCATTTTTATCACCACTACATAGATTTTGAATTAAAATATTATTTTGCTTACATTATTGTTTACTGTGTTTGCCTTACATTCATCTTTAAATTTCTAAAACTACATGCTTCACAAAAATAGGGAGAAATTATTCTGCTCTGGGGAAAAATGCTGTGAGACCCACCTCATTAATGCATTTTTAATTAATGCTCCTAGCTTTCTGCCATAATTAGCCCTGATATTATGTATTTTATTCTTTAGTCATTGAGGGATTTAATGTTTCTTTTTTTTTACTTTGTTTCTTCTTCTCCTAAGTGTATTTCAATCAAACAGAAGGCTCTTCATCACACTTGCATAATTAGGCTACTTAAATAATTGCTAATAAAAGTCCTGATTTTCGGTGTTTGTAGTTGGTCCGACATCATTGGGATTACTGTTAAAATTGCTTAACTTCTCCCAGTGTGCCATCCATCTCAGTGAATATACATCACAGTGTAAGAGCACTGAAGTGAAGGCAGACTGCAGGATTGTTAGCAAACAACTGAAACCAGCCTGTTCCCAATCTGATTCCTGAGAATTTGGATAGTGCCTCTGTTTCCATTCTGACATTATTAAACATTTTAAGAAATAAATAGAGTGCTGCTCCACCTGCATTGCAACTCACTCTGCCCATGCAGCCTATGGCAGGACAGACTTTATCTGCATCGTTAAGGACAACAGTACAATTGCCTCTGCTGCCCTATCACAAAGAAGTGAGTCCATAGTGTTATGGGTGTAACACTAATGTGTTGTTAGGGACTGGCGGCTTGAATAGTCTGTGTTGTGACAAATATAATAGATTTGGGTTTTTTTAGCCCCTTGTACTCGTTGTTAATTAATAAGGAATTTCTCTCTGCAGAAGCTTATTGTGTTACATCTAGGTCTACAATGAAGTTGATTCCATCAGAATGCTGTTAGAATTACTGGCATAGTAAAAGCCATTTTTTAAGCTTATGTCAATGGCATTCAAATCATCTATTTTTGAGTGGAGAACTGATTACAGGCTCTATTTCATATTTAAGGAATGTATTTGGTGATCTAAGTAAGATCTAACCTGTACATAAAAAAAAGAATCAAGCTTACATGGGGTTACAGCCATCCTTTAAATGCCCTAATTTCCCCATCCTTAATTTTGCAATTTATGCTCAATCACAGAAAATGTGGGAGGATCTAAGCTATTAAATGCTTGGCAACTGTAACCAAGTGACAGTTTCAACTATGCTGGTCATTGGACGGACTGTTGATTGGGGCAGAAGGACCAAGTCAATTTTTGAATGGGAAATTCGGCCGGGAGGAGGGAGGAGAGATAGGGGCTGGCGGAGAGAGAACCTCAGGTGCAGTAGCAGAAGTAGCACAAAGGAGAAATGTGTGAGAGCGAGTGAGAGAGCGAGAGAGGGGCTGAGGCAGGCACAGCATCCTTACTGCTATGCACCAAGGAAGGAATCCTCAGTCAAAGTGTTCAGCAATCTTCAGTTAACCTTGGTTAAGGATTTTTTCCATTTCCTTTTTCACTGCGGAATAGTGGGTTGCTTTCAATAGGACTCCGGGCTGGAACTGCAGCAAGCTTTTGTACACACTGGGAGGAGAACGACTGTTGGGTGATCCATAGTGCAAGGGCTCAGCCTCTCTCCAGGAGACTGCATCTTTCAGTACAGGAGACGGACTGCAGCAGAGGGAAATTTGTTCCGAGAATGTATTAAACACAGCATTGCCTGATTCGACATTGCATCCTTTTGGATGGATTTGGAAATGTTACAATGCTCTCATGGCTGTATTTGTTCTATTCATGGTTTGCTTACTAAACTGATAAAATAAGATTTGCCACTTTTTGTTTGGGAAGACATCTAAAATCAGAAATAAAAATAAATTTGGAGCAAACAAAATGTTTTTTGTATGAGCAGACAGACTTGAAGTCCCCTGCAGAATGGTCTACTCTTTTAAGGATCTCTGAGGAACTGTTGGATAAACTAAAACTGGGATGTGTGCCTTACTGTTCTTCATTTATCTGAAAACCTTTGTAGGGGAAAATATAACATTATAAAGTACACCATCTTTCTGAACAGGACCTGCATCATGGCTAGGACTTCATATTCTCTTCCCTGTCTGATGACAGAGATGACAAAGGTAGTTTAAATTGGCTTCTGTGAGGCACTTGCACATAATACTCAGGCTCGTTCCTGCTTCAACCCCGATCAGAGATATATCACAGGTATACATATTGAAAGCCTTGGTATCAATACCTTAGAACTTTACTCCAGAGTATTGTTTGTTCGTAATAGACTGAAAAGACTGTACTCACAAGGTTTTGAGGTGACAGGGCGTAGTGCAGAGTGCAGTGCTTGGAAATAAGCATTAAAATCCAACACAATCTAGATGACTAGCTTCCTTCCTATGTCCCAATATTGGCATGAAAATAAACCTTTAATCTACATTATTATAAATTTGTCTTTTTTATTTAGTACTTTAAGACAAGTACAAAAGGTCTGAAAAAATAAAATGAAGAGCAAATGTGTTACTTTTTAGGATTTCTGCATGACACTGAAATTGCTACCCAGTGCCCATTGATGATATTATACAATGTTTTAATGAATTAAATATTTTGAATTAACTAAATTAATCATTAATGTCCATAAAATGGATCATACTGAATTAGTTAATATCTTCTTTGCAGAATCACCTGCTCTCTGTCGTTTTTTTCCTTTAGTGCTTCAGTTCCAGGAAGCTTGCCTTTTCACATTCTGCACAGTTTTTTCCCCTTTCATATCCTGGTAATAGGATAGATGCTGAAAGGAATTCAAACTCATATCCAGAACTCATTAAATCAGAATATGTGATCACAACGAGTAACTGTTTTAAAGCTATTGCAGTTTATTTTAGTTGTGTTCTGGAACAATGTCTCTTCTTAACAGTCCTTACTCGAGTCTGATGGACTGCAGAAGATGGCATACTGGAAGGAGATAGCCTCTTCTTTGTCTTCCTTTGCCCAACCAAAGCTATATGAAGGAGAATCCATTAGCTGGGAAACAATGAGCAGACTGGTGTCTTAAACAGGCTAGACAGTTAATTAAAGGAAGAACGTGTAGGCATGATTCTCTGTGAATTGACATTCCCTCAAATACTGCCTGTGCTGTTTGATTAAATCTAACCCAGCAGCCATCTCAGACCTGAGCCATGAACAAGTCTGCTGTTGAAGTAGTGAAGCCTGTAATGAACAGCAGCACTGGCAGCATGTCGGTGAACCATTCTTGTCCTCTTGGCTTTGGTCACTATGAATTGGTGGAAGCCTGTGTCTTAGAGACAGTGGTCATTGTTCTCCTGACTGTGCTGATCATAATGGGGAACCTAACAGTGATTTTTGTTTTCCACTGTGCTCCACTGCTCCACCACTACACCACCAGCTACTTCATTCAGACTATGGCATATGCTGATCTTTTTGTGGGTGTAAGTTGCCTAGTCCCTGCACTCTCCCTCCTGCAATACCCCACAGGAGTCCAAGAGTCGTTAACATGTCAGATTTTTGGATACATTGTTTCTGTTCTCAAGAGTGTTTCTATGGCTTGCCTAGCATGCATCAGTGTAGACCGCTACCTAGCCATTACCAAGCCTCTTTCATACAACCAGCTTGTCACACGATGCCGTCTTCGTACGTGCATTGTCTTGATCTGGATATACTCTTGCCTCGTGTTTCTGCCTTCCTTTTTTGGTTGGGGGAAGCCAGGCTACCATGGGGACATCTTTGAATGGTGCGCCCACTCCTGGCTAACCAATGCCTACTTCACGAGTTTCATTGTGTGCCTGCTTTATGCCCCTGCTGCCTTTGTGGTCTGCTTCACTTATTTTCACATTTTCAAGATCTGTCGACAGCACAATAGGGAGATCAGTGAACGTCGAGCCCGTTTTCCTAGCCAAGAGATGGATATGGGAGAGGAAGGGCACAGTCCTGACCGACGCTATGCTATGGTCCTGTTCCGCATCACCAGTGTCTTCTACATGCTCTGGTTACCCTACATCATCTATTTCCTCCTGGAGAGCTCCCATGTCTTGGATAACCCCACCCTCTCTTTTGTCACCACCTGGCTGGCCATCAGCAACAGCTTTTGCAACTGCTTCATTTACAGCCTCTCCAACAGCGTCTTTAGGCTGGGCCTGCGCAGGCTCTCCCAAACCATCTGCTCATCTTGTGTGTGTGCCAAAGACCAAGACCTGCGGAACCCCAAACCACGCAAGAGGGCTAACCCCTGCTCTATCTGAAAGTGTCAGAGGGGTTGCCCACCCCAGCATTCTCTTACACCAGCTGCACAAAATAAGTCATGGCTGTACAACGTGGCAGGTGATGAGATTTTTCCTGCTGGTTTCCTTGCTCTTCAGGAAGCTTCATTGACCCTTCTTTTCACAGAGAGTTATTACCTAACCTGATACTGCTGGTTTTGAAACACACTTGGAAACGGATACAGAGACTAGTAGTAACACTGCTGAAAAGGTGACTCCTGACCTTCTCCAGCATGCTTTTGTTATGGCTGTCAGGTCAGTAGAGAATAGTTGAAATCTGCACATCTTTAGTATAAAGATCTAGAAATCTCTACTAGTAATAGTGTATAAATAGACAAAAACATACAAAGAAAAGAAATCGCACTATATAAACAATGCCTGGAAGTTCCTAACAGTGCCCTGCAGCTTTATTAGTGATGTTGTATACTACTGTGTCTGTACTGTGTGAAAACAAGATACAAGATAGCAGCTAAAATGAATAGCTAAACCTTTGTATTAAGTCTATGTAGCTTTCTGTTTTATGGGGCTCTCCTGTGTACTAAAAAAGCCTGCAAAAGCGTTCCAATTGTAAATTTACTGTTTTTTATTCATATATTGTTATGTTACTGATATCGTGTCCATGCCTAATATTTTCACTTAACATTTAAAGAGCTTATTGGTATTTAACAATGTGTGGAAAAAATATTTATTTTCAAATAATGTAAATTATTGTGCAGTTAAGAGGCTGTGAATGGAAGATTTATTTGTTTGATATAAAAATAAAATTTTACTATATATATGTACCACAGGCAATAAATAGTTTTAAAAAGATATTTGTTCATTATTTTAACACAACAACCTTTATAAGGTTTTATCATTTTACAGTTCTGAGTTCTACATGTAGAATGAGCTCCTTAATGTAAAAATATATCATTTGATTTGCTGCTATAAAGCTATTTAATATACTGATCACATTTGAGGCCTTTAAGAATCTTTTTCATTACCTCTAAAAGCTTATGTTGCTTATTTGGTGGAATCCATAATCTGCATTATTTTTTTTGCTGGTCAAACAGTATCTGTGGAAAAACTACAGTTAAATTGTGCATGGTACAGTAGGATGTGATCTGCCTTATCTCCCTGTCAACTTTCTTCATAAGCTGCCTGTCTCTAACTGGCTTTCAACCTATAGTGAGGGATTTGGAAAGTCTGCTTTCTGCTCTCTATGTAGTCTTAAGTAATGGTTTCCTGGGACTTTGGAATAGCTGCTTCCAGTGCAAAGGTGGAAGCTGTTCGTTTGAGTAAATGCTGAATCAAAATGGGATTTGCTTGAGGTACTTTTGCAAAGAACAATCCATGGAAGAAAGAGTTACAGGCCACACAGGGGCCCTGGATTGATGCAGTATGTTGTTTCTGAAAATTGACTGGCTCTGTTCAATAAGAGGTGGAATAACAAAACTGCACTTTGTGAAGGGAGATTTAGTTGAGATAGAAGATTAGGTCTGTAATTTCTAGAATGATATGGTTTAAATGTCTTTATTCCTTTCACAACATTTGTCTCTTGTCCTGTATACAGTATGTTGTTAAACAGAGTTTCTTGACTTATTAATCATATAATATAAGGTTCTAGGTTTACTTAGCTACATTTCCATTTTTCTGTGTTTTAATATGATGATTTACCACAAGAATTACATCATAACTAAATTCAGTACACTTTTAAATAATATTTTGGAAAGAAAAGCTAAAATAACATTGATTGGAATTTTCCAAAAAGCAGCAAAGTAGCATTTATCTTTTGTCTGTTTATTTCTTAATATATATTTTTATTATATTCCCATGTTTTCCATATACATTCATATATATGTACAAATGTACTTTGGTGTACAGCATGTAGTGTATATGTTACTACAGAACATAAATTATTCAAATGTACTTTCACTAATTATGATTACATATATGAGAATAACATTATTCTAAATTGCTGCTAGTAAGCTGTTTTTTATTAGGAAACAATTAGGTACACAGTGTATATTTTTTATTTTTTAACATTTTGTGAAAGGTTAAGATTTTATTTTCACTGCAAATAAAACATATATTTCTGTTTGAAATCTGTGTTGCTTTTATCACCAAAGCAAAATACATGTGTAATTAGTATTTTGTAATAACCTATGGTTAGTTAGTAATAACCTTAGAGTTGAAGGTTATTACTAACTAACTATAGGTTATTAATAACCTTAGACTTGAAGTCTTATAAGTGGATGTACCTTTAGGGGTAGTTTTATGAAATTCTATGAATTTGTATAGAGATTTGATCCCATGGAATTGCACAAAGAAGGGTCACTAAGCCAATTATTTCTGTATGTTCCATAAATGTTCTTAATACATTGAAGAACAGGGACTCAGGGAAATCATCATGGAAAAAAGCAGTCAACTTGTCTACCATGGCTCACATTTAGGCACAAAAGGGAGAAAGAGAACGTATTGACACTGGCATCCAGATACAGTACATGGGAGGCATGGGAGGCATTTTCTCAGTTTCTTATATTTCTTGTCATTCTTGCATGTGCAGATCTTCCTTCTGAGTGTTGCAAACAATAATGGTTATGCAGATAAAACTCTTAAGTAGAAATGCTAAAACAACCATTTGAGGAGCAGGCCTGGAAAGATTGCACAAGGCTTTAAATTTTTTAAATTTGACTACAGATTTGCAATTAGCCTTTCACGCATAGTAAACATGGCTATGCATTCTTTACTTTAATAAGTTTAGAGTTATTTTTAGAGGGAAATAAAAAAAAACTTTGCCCTTCTTTTAAACAGGTCTAAGAAATACACTTAATCTGCTCTATATAACTACAGGTCTTTTACTACTTGAACAATGTTTTTTAAATATAATGATTATATCTGCTGAGTGTTTAAATGGTTGTGGTTTAAATGTGGTTTAAATGTGTGCTTTTTTGCCTTGTTCCATACACAAAGGGCCTATATTTAGAAAATATTTATAGTACAGTGCTTGTATTTGTTTCTTTACTAGAAAAAAAGAAAAACATGTTGATATTACAGTGCTTTACTCTTTAATTACTCTATTTTTTGTAATCTGTCAAACTGAAGATTGTTTTTATTTGGCTGCAGATCTTTCTAGAGAACATGCTTTTTAAGCAGGAGAGTAAAATATTTGGGGAGTATCACAGAATGTTGATTAATTAAGTGCCTCTGTGTACATGTACTGTATATTTTCAGTTTGTGAGCATTTGTGTGTGTGAGAGAGTGCTGTTTACATAAATAAATATGTTGAAACCAAATCCTCCATATTGTTTAGTACGTGCACTGCAGTCTGGGTGTGCCCTTATGTGACATTGGACTTAATGACTGTTTTATCTCAGCGCTGTGCATAGCGGGTAATTTGTTATTTGACAAATTAGTTATTAATATTATCACATACTGTAGCTTTAATGTTATTTTACATGAAATAAACTAAAGTACGATTCATTCTGTCTGCACCTCTACTACACTATGATTATCTATCTTATGAGTGCTGCTAGATAATGAAGCTCCATGCTCACTGACATCAAGCTACTGTAATCTAACATTTTGCTACAAAAGGAATAACTTTTTCTAACATATCTCTCAGGACCGGTACGATCCAATTCATATCCAATTCTCGCTTCCAGAATTGTGTTTTGATTTACTTTATTCTTGAACTTTTACCTGTGTTTTCATTGCACAACACTGTTCAGCCTAAGCCATACATAATAATATACAAGGGAAAGGTTATTTTTATTAATAAAAGCATGGAAAGGTTATGCACAAATGCCTCAGTTCAGCTATGGGAGTATTACTTACACACGTAACTATTTTTAGCAGCACCAGAGGTATGATAATTCTTTGTGTGGTGAGTATGGAAGTGGGCTCAGCATGGATAAAAATAGAACAGGATCATTTTTTAACCCACATTCCTTCTGTGTATACATTTTTCCTTTTCTGATTGTACTTACATGGATTTCCTGACGGTTCATCCTTAATTATGACTGTAAAGAGGGACCATCCAGGCTTGTTAATATTTATGAAAATCCCCTTCATGCTTTCTGCATTATAAATTCCATTTACTATGACTCTGTTCAGCTCCAAACCTCTGAAATAACCTTTCCTTTCAAAAGGCACCTTCAGGCTTCTGAAACCAAGTTGGGAGAGCTCTAAAACATTTTGTAAGCATAACAAGAAATGCTACCCCCCCCCCCCAGCAAGTTCACAATTTATTTTTCAAGTCTTTCCTTTCATGCAAAGATTAAATCAGAGAGTTATAGGACTGAATGGAGCACAACAAAATATTCTTAATGTGCAACTGAGTACATTTGTGTATTTAGCCTGCATAAATCACAGCACAGAATTGTATGTAAAACACATAACCATTAGTAATTGTTTGTACTAATGGTTAGTAATACATGTATTGAATTGCCTAAGAACATTGAGTAGACAATTTAATAATTGTAAAATTGCCACTGTAAGTCCTAGACTCAGCATGGAAAACATTTAAGTAGGAAAACAGAATATTTGTTTTTATATAATTAAAATATTATCTTGAATTTGTGTTACAAAAAGCTTGAAAGGACAATTATGGAATTAACAACATTCATAATTCACACATTGCTGGTGCATTATGTCCACTTTTTGGAAAAACAAGTCCTGGTTCCTCTCCAAACAGCAGCTGCTCCAAAATATTCTTGCCACATATCATCGACGAATCTTGCCTTTTCTCCATTCTGCTTTTTATTTTTCATTTTTTAGTCTCTAGACACCTAAAGCTAGATTTCCTCTTTTTTAAAAAACTCAGATGAGAATTTTTTTCATCTTACATTTTTTTCTAAACAAAGCCACATTGAGCTTATTTTGAGAATATATATTTTATGGATGTGCTATTCTGAGTTTTTCTGCTCTTACCTGTGACTAATGCTCTTATGTATTCCATGCTGAAAAGAGAAGAAAGAAAACACAATGTTTTGGCCGTGGAACCTTCTTCAGGTGTGAGCAGCCTGCTCAGTTCACACCTGAAGAAGGCTCCAGGGCCGAAATGTTGTGTTTTCTTCCTTCTCTTTTCAGCATGGAATAAACCTATTACTTACTCCTTTGCAGCCTACGCATGCTGACGCAGCTACCCACCTGAGCTCTTATGTATTATTGCCAAGGAATAAACTCAGATGAAAAATGATACCATGAAATTCTTTATCATTCCTACACATTCCTGTTAGGACTTTAAGCTTGTTTATGGGTATGCAATGTTTGTACTGTACATCTGCTGAAGAGTACTTGCTTGCTGGCCCTAGTGCAGCTGATGATCTGCACTATGGTGTCACTTGCGTCTGCAGCCCTAAGTCTCTGGTTGTGTTGCAATGCGGCCATGCACTTATTTCTCCACACCAACCAATCCCTTTGCTGTGTGCAGTCATTAACTGCTGTGATCGGACTGGTACTGAAACATGGAACTCTGCGCCCAGAGAACAGCGCAGAACATACAGTACCATCTTCTGAACTAAGGTTTTAGTCAACTTCTGCACCTTAACAGATAGCCCAGAGAGCTGATCTACATTCCACGTGAGAGGCCCTTGGCTTTTTGGGCCTGTGGTATGTAGAGAGAGGTGGTCTTCCTGCTTTGATCTGTTGCAGAACTGTGTGATTCAATAGTCATATTTACATTATTATTAACGAATACAAAGACAATGTTTATCCGAGAAAGCAAAACAACACATTTTAATGGAATACTCTTAGGGTTTCATTTTTCTTCTTTTCAATTTCCTTAATATCCTACAGTTTGCAGATTGTGGCACATTTGTTGTTTTATGTGCTTTATTAGGATAAAGGTTATGGTTATGTATGTGTAAGAAAAACTGAAGCTCTGGAGCAGGCATGCAGCTGGAATGGGGTAATGACTTAATGATTAAATGAGGGAGGGGGGAAGGATTATTTTTTACAATTGCCAGTAACCAGGGAACATCTTATTAACATGATAGACAAACAATTTTTTTTATTTTAAAAAATTAAATAAAAAATAAGATACAATGACATGTTCCTACCTAACTCAAACATTGTGTGACTTTAAAAGCTGTAAAAAATGGTTTAGACATGGGTAATGTCATTCTCATTAAACAATGTGCTTATCGCTCAAATCCTGCTAAACTAGAAATTAGACACAAGAAGAGTATTATTGGACAATGTTGTGTGGCTCTGGCGGAATTTCTCTGTAAACTGAAAAGTTATAGAGGAGGCACGTTGTATATCACCTCTTGCTACACTTGTAAGAACATCCCAATGTTAATGCAACAAGGAAGATATTAATAACCTTTTAAATCTGAAGCTGTTAACTCTATTTCACACCTGCAGGTCAAGATCAGTTTCAAGTAAAAAAAAAACATCAAACCTTTGATTGGCTTTGATTGTTTCGGAAGGATGTGAAAAGTGACAATTTTTGACAGTTACCATCAGGAGAAAAAAAAAGTTAATTTTTTATTATTTGTGGCTGCTGCATTGGCTTTCAATGGCTGGATAGTTAACGCTTCAAAATTGCTTCATCAGTCTGTCCATGGGGGGAAGGGGCGGAGCTCTCCTTGACAGCTGACACTCCTCCGTGCGCTTAAATGAAAAATTAATTAAAACGCCAATGTAAACATTATATTTACAATTTGTTGAAAATAAAAATGTAAA